TTTTACGAGCACATCCCCAGAGCTCACTTAACAGCCGGTTTTAATCATGCAGTTGACACAGAGAAAATAACAAAATGTATTTTTTCAGTGGCAAATTAATTTAGGCTTGCACCTCCTCCTGTAGCTCTATTCTTTTCTTTTTCTATATATGTATATCTTTTATTTTCTTATATGAAGACCAATGGAATTCACTCTTGTATTTGGAAGTAGTATTTCTTCAGTCTTGCTGAATTAAAATAAAAAGGATGAATGTTTCTTTTAGAACCAGTTCCTGACAGTGGTTTTTTAAATGATGTATCTTGTTCTATATATGAAAGATGAATCAATTTTTTTAGTTTCATACACATTGTCTATTTAGCTGAATGGAGAGGTGAATGTAGAATTTAGACAAAGAAGAAAGCATTATTCTGAAGAGTATTTAAATTGTGGGTGGTCTTTTATATTGCATTTAATTGTCATTAACTGTTCATGATAGCTGTTTTGGAATCTGGCTCTCATTAAGTCACTTGAAATGCTGCGTAAATTATTTTTAAATTGGGGGAAGGGAGTAAAAGAGTACCATTAGGGGGGAAAAAAAAGTAACTCACGTGGAGTTTCCTCATGTTCCTGTAGAAACCTCTCCAGTATAATCCGAGCCATTAATGAGGGTGCATAGTCCACCTTTATAAAGCAGAAGTAGAAAATTAAAACTGTCAAGATGTGCAAACAGTTGATATTCCAATATTTTGTCAACAATGAAGATTAAGTCAATTTTAATCAACCACAGCAAGCATCATTCATTAAAATCTTTCCCACCCTTGGTGGCTTCCATTATAATAAAATTATAACAAGTATGATCTGTGCTGTTGAAAAGAATAAACAGGTCGTATTTATTGAATATAACATTGGAACAAAATGGATGGAAAAACTAGTGCATAGTATTTATCTAAAACAGTGAAATAGGTTTTTCTCACCTCTCAATTTTTTTTTGTTGCTATGCCAATATTATTTTTTATTCTAGTCATCCCTTTTTCTACCCACTTGTCTAAATTTACATTGTTTTGGACAAAATTTAAAATTAAAAACTCTCTGTTCCATAGTAATTTTTCAAAAAATGAATCAAATTGATCTTAGTAATTAAAATTATGGAGTTTACTGATTTTATCTTTAATGAGAAATGAAATTTTGGTATAAGTTCCTAACAAAATATTTTATTTGACAAAAGAAAAATAACTATATCACAGAAACATCAATAATAACATACAACAATAATATTTGTAAATATAAGATTACCATCCTTAGGCCTATCTGAAATGCTCCTTATCAATTTATTTAATATAGAACCTAGCAAGTTAACTTTTTTAAAAATAAGGGATCAAACACAAAACAAAGAGTACTCAGTTGAATGGACATTTTAATTAATAAAAACTGCATCTACTCTTTTGTAAAGGTATTGTCTTCTGTTTCGCAAATGTTTCATTAGACATGATTTAATTTAACCAGAAAATAGGTATTTAAAAAAAATTTTTTTTTTAGTTGTAGATGGACACTACCTTTATTTTGTTTATTTATTTTTATGTGGTGCTGAGGATCAAACCCAGTGCCTCACACCTGCAAGACAAGTGCTCTGCGCTGAGCCACAACCCCAGCACAGAAAATAGGTAGTTTTTAAGAGCAATAGTGCTTCCCTAAAACAAGTCTTTTAATCTTAGGGATAAGACAGCAAATGTTCCTCATATATTATCACCATGAATTTTTCCTGACAGGTTTTCAAGTCCTGTATTCATACCAAAATTTTATCTTGATTTAGTAACTAGACAAAAAGGCTAGCTTCATTTGTATGATCAGTTTTTTCAAATATGTATGTACTTGGATGCCCTTAAATTCCCCAAGTAGAAAGAAATGCTTTCCATGAAGCTGCTTATTCCTAGTAACCCACATCAGAGCTGACACATGAAAAATGGTGAAATTACTGAAGGTAGTCCAGCCTGAATAAGGACTACCTTATTAGTTCAGGTACTTGCATCTCCCTAATTTTCATATTAATCATGTGTCCATCTCTCTCTGAAATAGGGCCATCATGCTTCATGTCAGAATTTAGCATGTAAGTAAAATTCATAGTGCTTCAAATCTAACTTGAAAATATTTGTGTGGGGAGAACAGAATGACTGATCTTATTAGCACTAACAAAGAGATTTCCTAAAATGTTCATTTTTATCCTTGGAATAGGAAAGGTAGTATTAATACATTTATAAGATCAATGACAGCCACCTATAATCCTTACCCCCCAAATCAACAATGCAGTGCTTTTATCTAAGGGAGTTGCTGTACACTGTAATGTATCAATGTTATATACTTCTCATCAATTTTTAGTTTCCACTGATTAAATATATATTGACTCATAAAGTATTACCATCATATCAGTTGTCACTAGATGCAAACATATGTCATTTAAGTATTAACTATCATATAAAAATAGCAGCTTAGTTGTTTAGATGCCATAATCTGGTACAGGTCATTCCCAGAAACCTCACAGAAAGTGCTATTCTCTTTTTATTCATCTGCAGCCAGAAATAAAAAAATCCTTCAATAATTTTTGGCTATATATCTCTATACATTCATGGTAAATAATAGATATATTGATGTAGGGGAACATGTTCTGGTGCATTTAATTTTTCCATACTGTTAGAAGATGGAAGTTCAGGTCCGCTAAATAAGTTAAGCTCAATAGAACTATCCACTAAAAATTCAAATGAATATAAATTGCTACTATATAAAACTTTATGTCATCAACATCATTATCTATAAAAATAAGTTTCATATTTGCATCACTTTCTTTCTAAATGCTTTATCTGGAATGGTGTTAGCTTACTCTTTCTTTTCACAAAAGACAATCACTAAACATCTAATTATAGCTCAGATACCTCAAGTTATTATAGTATCAACCTGTAACAAACAAGTCTGGAGACACTTAAAGAGTACCCTGCTTCAGAAACAGAAAAAAAAAAAAAAACGAATAAAATACATGTTTTGCAAGGAGAAGAAAAATTCATTCTATATGTTAACTATCCTATCAGATTGTGTAGACATTGCCTAGACTATTAAAACCTTCTAGTTACTGATAGGCAATTGCTCATTTGCTGACTGCAGGGGAGTACAGCAGACAGAAGCTGTGAGGGAAGCCATCCTTCCTTGCTAACATAACATGTAGAACTTGCTGCTACTGCAACACTTAATGCTTATAGTATGGGGTCATCTTTAATGCAAACACACATTTTCTGCCTTGCTTCTATGTTTTCCATTATAATGCAACACAAAAACAGTGTACATTTCATTCCATCCCTATGAGGTTTGCATAAGCCTTTCCAAGTCAGACTAAATATTGTATTACTCTTATTACAGTGGATAAATATTTTAGAGTTTAGGAATTAAATATTTTATTTTTTGGTTTGCTCTCTGCAACTATTATGAACTTTTTATAGCTTCTTCATTCACAAGAAATCTTTAGGGCTTCCTTTTTTAAATGTAAGGCTGTTAGTTGTTTCCCCAAACAGAAGCAGATCAGAGTTAACAAATAAGTTCAATAAATCACTTTATACTGGTGTTAATAAGAATATTATTTCTTCTTAGAAAGAGACTTTTCTAGAAGGCATGCAATAATAAAGGTTTGCAAACAAAAAAAATGTATCAAGTAAATGTTACATTTTTAAGTATACAATTTCTCTCTTCATTTTTACAACAGTTAGCATAGATTTTCTTGGCATACATCTCTTTACTTGACACAGGTATTTCTCACACTAAATTAAGACAACATATCCTAAGAAGAGCATGTCCTGAGATGCTTGGTTTAAGTTTTCCACAAAATAAGAAACTAAGAAGCTGTTTATACATTTGCTTTAAAAGAGGCAGACTAATTATGTCAACTGATTTATTAACACATGAAGTTCTTTGTCCAATTATTAAAAGTACAAAGAGACCAGGGAACAATTTAAATGTCTAATATACCTCAAAAATCTTTTTTAAGGTTAATTATAATTCTAAGCAAACTACTTCAGATAGGCCCCTTAGGTTTTGTGCAAGTTTAAATAAAATCATAACAATAATATTACCTCATTGGCCAGCTCAAGGAGCACTGGGGCAGCTCCATTTTTCACCACTCCATTCAGGTACCTAGACAAGACAAAGCAAAGTGATAATGCAGTGACGAGAAAAGGCCAGTATAGACTTGTCAGTATCCCCTGTGTGTACACATTTCTCCTGGGCAAATGCCATGTTCAACTCCTGTTAAAGTATGCTACTGTCATAGAAAAGCACTAAAGAGAAAAGGATAACAAAAACAACTTACTTCAAAACTAACTAACTAACTGAAGTAGGGTCAGGAGGTATGAGCATCAGTCTCCGTTGTTTACACCTTTTATAATGTCAAAGTGAACAAAGAGGTTATTTCTAAAGAACTTTCCATATCATTCCGACTTTGTCCATACAACAGACAACTGTCAAATGGAAAGAAAACAAGTGACTCTCATAATTTGAAGAAAGCATACATGTACTCATCTCACCTTTTTCTTTACCTCTGCGTCAGAGGGCTGTTGATACCTTATCAAGAAAAGAAGGGAACAGCCTTGTCACCAGGAGGCAAGCACACCTTTGATAGGCAACACAACCACCAACTTATCTGCCCTAGATTTCTCTAACAGCCTCCAGCTCTCATCAACACATAACTTTACCATAAACCAAAAACAAAAACAAAATTCCCCAAATCCATCCAACACAAGGAAGACAGGGTGAATTTTTTAAAACAAAAATTTGAATATGCTATTCTCCTCCTTCAAATATTTTGAAGGCCCTATGCTAAATCTCAAGATTAAATTATTACTACTTAACAGCTCTATGATAGGTTCTTCATAATCTATCTACTCCATTCTGCCAGCCTCATCTCCAGTCACTATCCCCTACTTTTACTCATCACCTGGATAAGTTAGGAATCATCCCAGATGTCACCTTCTTCAATCTAACACCATTCAAGTGTAACATCATGCCCTGCACAGGCAACTGAGCGGCAGCCTGTACGTCTCCCCATCATATATTATAGCACTGCATTCTCCTAGTTGCAGTCATCCACCCTGATCCTCAAAGGACGTATTCCAAGACATGGTACCTCAAATCATTGATAATACCAAACCCTAAATATACTGTTTTTCCCTAGACATACATACATATCATAAAATTTAATCTACAAATTATGCACTCTAAGAGATTAACAATAACAAAACAGAACAATTATAATAAAATACGATAACGAAAGTTATGTAAATGTGATATTTCTCAAAATCTTATTTAACTATACTCACCCTTCTTTTGATGCTTATTTGATGAGATAAGATTTATGACACAGGTATTGTTACACAGTGTGAGGCTATTACCAATCTTCAGATACTAAGTCATAAGAAATATCATCAAGCCATATGCCAGATGACCACAGGTTAAATGACACCATGGATAACAAAACTCTGGATAAGGTGGGACTTGGGAGAATTGTCTACCTAAACTCATCACTCACTGTAACAAAGATGTTGTAAAAGCAATTTTTTTTTAAGATAGGAAGAATGTCAGGGTTATTATAACTTTAAAATAATTCTAACAAATCCAATTTCCACATAATAGGACCCTTCTTGAACATATTATTTAGTAAACTTACTAGGAAATAAGGACTTTTAGATGCAACAAGAAAAAATAACAAAGACAAGTGCAATTTAGAGGATGGTCTCTGAGAAATAAGTCAGCTAAGAACCACAATTGACATGAACATTTCCAGCGTAGGATAGGCCTGCTCAGGCAACAACCAATCAGCTCAGTCAAGTCACCAGCTAATCATGTTTGTAACCCCAGAAGTGCATACTAATTAAGGATTCCGATTCTGTCTGGGCCAGGATACTTAATCCTAAACCCATATTAAGATATCTTTACAATTTTCTATTAAACATCCATGTATCCCACAAGTATTTTTGAGAGCTATGGATTGGGCCTTAGTCCAAGTTCTGAAGAAGCATCAAGGAATAAAACAACACTTGTTCCACCACCACAGAGATATTATAGTGGAGAGACACTCAATAAAAACAAGGGGGAACAAATATATAACATACATGTTATGATAAAATTTAGACTTAGATGGGTTAGTCAGGAAGACCCTCAATAAGAGAGGCACTTGGGTGTCTCCTCTACATGAGATGAAGGTACATGTTTCCAGGGCTTCCTGGACATAGTACGAGAGAATAGCTAGATGCCAGACCACTTCTTCTGCCAGGTAACTACTGTTTAGAATAAAAATTACATGATTTCACATAGATGTTGCATCAATCTTTACCCTGGTAATAAACAATGGAAACCGCCACCAAGTTTAAAGAAACAGGACATGGTCAAGCAATAACAGTAATCCCCTGTATTTATATAGTCTGAATAACATCTGAAGGATGTTATTACACTAGAAATTATGTGGTTGGCCATAGCTTCTCAGTTGTTCAAATTAGGAAAATTAATCCCAGTGCACTGATGAAACCTTCCCAGGCTCTAATGGCAGCAGTACAGCTCAGAAAGGGAACCCTGACCCCTGGCCCAGGGCCTAGTGGAGGTGCCTTCATATGAAAACAGTAAACTTACTTCTTAATGAATTTATGCCCCATTTGTTTCCCAACTATTTCCTACCACACTTCAGAAATGCTTGGGGGATGGGAGGGAGTAATTACATTTAACTTGAGGTTCATTTTGTTCTTTGTGAAAACTTAATTGTGGTTCCACATGAAAGCAACAGATTAGGCTATATTCAGATTTTCATATATGCACTCAAAGAAACATACTGAAGTATCCAAAATATTCAATAGAGACATAATCAGAAATTGTAGAGCTGGGTTAGTGGTACGTGCCTGTAGACCCAGCTACATAGGAGGCTGAGGCAGGAGGATCATTTAAACCCATGAATTAGAGAATAATTGAGTAACACAACAAGATCCTATTTCTAAGAAAGAAAAAAGAAAAGAAAAGATGCTATCATTCTCTGAATTATCACAGATGTGCAAACTTACAGCATTGTACTTCTGACACTGGCATAATGGTCTGCTTTTCTCTCCAACTAGACAGGAAGCTCCTTGGAGTATGACCTCACAAATATCCAACAGATCCCTAGCAAAGACCTGTGTGGCGAAGAGGATATGAGGAGATCATCCTGAACAATACATTAAGTAATCTGGGCTCCATTCCTAAGGCCCATTTGTCAATTAAAACTACTTCACTTAGAAGCCACACCTCATCCTTTAGTTCTGCCATGGGGGACCAACAAATATATAGCCTATGGGTGAAGTCATCCTGAGAAGATCCTTAGAGAAGACCTACTTTATGTTTTATGGCTGTGAAAGATCCATTAGCATCTAAATACTTATTTTAAATATAAGATAAAGTTATTTGATCTTTAATATTTTTATAATAAATCTAATGGCAAAACTTCAAAAACCTACCTAAATTATCATGCTAGGCTTACACCTAAACAGTATTTTTGCTGAATTTACCTCTAAAATCTCCATAACCCATCCCCACTGCTAATGCTGCCAGTCTCTCTCCCCCAAACTATACCAAGATCTAGCGTAGGAGGCTTCCCTGCTTGCAGCTCACCCAACCATCTATCCTGTTTATAATGCCACAGAACTTCCTTCCCTGCATAAAAACATGTATAGTCTACTCCTTGCTTAAAATCTACCACTGGGTTCATACTGCCTATTTAAAAGAAAAAAAAATACTACTCCTTTGAACAAGATCCTCAGTACCTGCCTAAGTATTCCCAGGCTATTTTGCCATTCTCCATTTGTTCTCTAGACTCTACCTCAAAAACATCATAGCTCTGCTACTGAAGGCCTTCTCTCAACATGGAAAGCTCTCCCCTTCTCAACAAACTTGTAAAGGTGAGCCTTTTATTCCTAGACTGTACACATTCATGCTACCCCACACACCTCAAATGGATAACTTCTCTTACCACATTTTACATATTTAGGTACACAGCTGCTTTCCCACTAAATGGAAAAGTTGAAGGTAGGTACTGTGTTAGTCACATTTTATAGTCAGTTTATAGCATGTGGATAGGATATGGTGCAAACACAGTAATGGTGCTAACTGAAAAAAAAAGTACAAATTTTATCATGTATTGTCAATATCATAATTGAACTACCCTTTTCTCCGTGTGAACATCTGAATAAAATTCAATTGATCTGATTCTCTTAAGCTACTTAAGGTAGCCCCTTAGTCAATGTGTCTTGGGAGAAGGAAGGAGATAAGACATAGTATTTCTGACCTTCACTACTGATGAGGACTTGCAAATCTAACCAATTATGTTTGTGCACATAAATCCATGTGTACCAGGTTAGATGAAACTAGATAAATTTTATCAAAAATGTTTCCTCTTTGGAAATAAAATGACATTAATATAGTGTGAAAGAATAGAGAATTGTTTTTAAACACAATACTTCAGCTGTCTATAAATACACAACATGGAGAACTGAGGAAATTTTCTCAGTAATTCAAAATGTTTTCTTCTGCTATCTGGATCCTATGAAGTTTCAGTTAATCATGACTCAATCACATGAAATGCATCCTTTGAATTTGTAGTTAATATTATCTCAATACTACCAAGAATACAAAAACACAAATTTCTCTTATATTGTGAGTAGGAATATAACCAGTATATTCCTAGACAGTAATTTGGCAACATATAATGATTTTTTTAAGCATTCACATTGTTTGGACCAGTAAGTATATACAAAGAAAATGCCTCACACATGCAAGGAAAGCACTTTACCACTGAGGCCCAGCCCCAATATACAAAGACATAAAAAATTGAATCCAAAATGTAGACTCATGAATCATAAAAAATTGAATCCAAAATGTAGACTCATGAATCAAGATGTTTATCACAGTATTATCTACAATATCAAAAATAATGAAAACATAAATGTTCAATGGAGGAATAGTTCAGTATCTTTTGATACTTTCATATGACAAAGTAAAGCAACCAATAAAATAAGAAGCTTTTTACAAAATACTATTATATCATTTACATTTTTCTGAGTATACAATTCAGAATTCATAATTGCATGTACATTATGACTTAAGTATGACCATCTATATAAACAAATGGATTGAGGTGCTGGGGTTGTGACTCAGTGGTACAGTGCTTGCGCACGGGTGAGGCGCTGGGTTTGCACCTCAGCACCACATAAAAAAATTATAAAAATTAAAAAATAAATAAAAATGAAGGTATTGTGTCCACCTACAACTAAAAAAAATATTTAAAAAATGGGTTGACAAAAAACTGGAATGAAATTTTAACCAACGGTTATCTCTGAATGGCACAAGTATGCGTACTCATTTGTTCTTTTTTTAATACCATCACAAACGTGCTTAATTTTTCTAATGAGGAGTATTAATTTATAAAGCAAAAAAATAATTTGTCACTAATATTTTCAAACTGCTTAAATATGCTTTCATTCAACAGTTTGCCTTCATTATAATCAGCTGGAAAACAAACAAAAACCTCTCAAGACCAATTTATCTTAGTGAAAACAGGGACATTGGGCCTGCACATTTAGAACAAGAGGCTTGTGAGGTCAATCTATCCAAAAGGTAACAACATGCTTATCCTCGGTCACAAAGTGCACAACAGAAGTATGGAAGGAAACTAGTGATAAGGTAAGAAACTGGTCAGACTGCTTTCTTCTGAATCTGTTCATTACAGCATAACTTCATGTTTTTGTTTCAAATGCTCTAGCTCCTCAGAATACAGAAATAAATTTCTATATTCTCATTACTACTCACTCAACCATTCATTACTGAGTGACAATGTGAAAAATGTCTGTCTCTGGCCTTAACTACCCAGATAATCCAAAAATGTATTTTCATACTTCCATACTTAAAATGTTCTTTAATGAAACTAATATTTTAAAAAGTAGCAGAGATATTAGAATCTAATTTAAAAAAACAAAAAACAACTTTTTACAATGAGGCTAGTGACACAGGGTGGCCCTACCACCTGATAATAGACTTGCAAATTTCTAAGAAAAGAGTATACTTTCCTCTAAAACGGTCTTTTCTCCTCAGCTTGTGTTTCAAGGTTTTAAATCTGGACATCAAAGCATGCTTTTCTATGACAGTCTAGCACTAGAAGGTTTACAAACAAGAATGTATTTTTTTGGCATGTAAAAAATGGCTTTTCAATCTTTCTTTGGAGAGTATGAGTGCCACAGCTTTCACAGGACTTTATAGACAGTCTTAATTTTATAATATAAGATCAAGGTTATGACTGAAATTTAAATGTTATAAGGTAGTTGTGACTTTTGAATAACTTACTTAAAACTTTACAAAGACTGTTCAGAGAAGAACTCTCCTAGACACAAGTGTATGAAGCAGAGTAAGAGAAGCATATGTATCTTTAATAGATTGAACTACTCAAAACAAAGAAAACATTTTATCAATGGCTGAGTGAATACTTTTTAAAAAAAATTTAATTTCAATAACTTCTCTGTTCAATACCTATACCTCAATTCTTAAAAATAACTACAGAAATATGGCACCAACTTTATCCACATATTTATTTCATTCATAAAATTTTTGTGCATAAAAATCATTCATCTGAAATCAGTGGTGTCACTCTCAAACAGAAAAGGTTGATCTGTCAATCTGAGTATAATAATTTAAGAGCATATTTCAAACAATTTTCCTTTCCAATATGCCCGTGAAATATTTAAGAAACCAACCATTTCTAATGCAAACCTTTAGTGTTATAAATTATTAAGTCATATTATAATAACAGTACAAATTTTAGAAATTAAAAAAAATCAGTTATTTAAGATTCTGTTTGTTTCAGATCAAGAGACTGAAAAGTATTTATAACAAGTAATGCTACAATTAAAATAGCTTCTGGATACCATGTTGTTGATTTGATGCCCAAGATTTTCTTTTAAAATATAAAACCCTCTTTAAAATGTGACAATCATACAATACGATGTATTTCCATATGTCTTTAGTTGATATATCTTTCCTATTTTGTAAAGTGGCTAACATAATACCTATGACGCAAAACACAGGTACATCAAAATTCAATCATATTCTTTTGACTTGCTGATCTAAATAAGAACTAAAAATTGGTTTCAGAATTTTCATATAAACATATATATGTATGCATATATGGACATATGCATTTAGACAGATATGCACTTATTGTAAGTTTCAAGAACCAACTGAGATTCAATAATATTTTAACTACCTAGTATTGTACACACACACCATAAGACAGCATCACCATATTCTTAGGTCTACAATTGAAAACTCATTAAAAAATATACCAAAAGTCTTAAATACAGATTCAAAACAATGTCTTGGGGTATAATAAAGAAAATTAATTTGATAATCTAATTTATTCGTAATTATTATTACAATTAATAGGTACTATGATACCCTCTAGTGGGGCAGGCAGGTCATACCTCTGGTAATAATTTTCAATTGCTTCCGAAGTATGATGTTTGGCATGTGTTCTTTTAATATGTTTCTGAAACAAAACAAAATAAAATCTTTACATTGTGTCACAGAGCAAGTTCAAGAACAATAATGACATATTTCTTGATCTCAATGACTAGCATACAGGGCAAAATGAATAATAGCTTGGGGATTTTGGTGGTGGTAGGACTTTTTTTCCTTCTACTCTACGAGCCTATGCATTTTAATCTCTATTGCTTGGCTGGGATGTCTTCAGACTGTACCACAAGGTACAGTATATATGTAAAAGCCAACAGGGTCATTGTAATTGAATCTAAATAAGTTTGCTTAGGGCTGCAGAGGGCAAAGAAAAACTTGCTCCCTCTTTCAACCTTTGTATTAATTTTCCCTCAATTCAATTCCATCTAAGTCCTCTGTACTCTAGTTTTACAATCCAATTGCCATTTTTAACCAGGAAGAACATTGCTTAAAAACAACTTATTTGAAAACTACAAAAAGTAATTCCATAGAGACTTGCCACTTGACTGACACCTGTCATCTCATGATAAATGACTCCATTTTCTGCCTCTCTTGCCTTCTGCCACTCCAGCAATGGTCATTTATCATCATCTCTGTCAGCAATGGAAAGCAGCACTGACAGTGCAAGTCAGCAAACATTTAGCACATGGAACCACGCAACACAGGGAAATTATTATTGTCAGAATAATAATGGTTTAGCATAATTTATTACAGGTCCACCAAATAAGCAAAGGCTAGATGTTATTAGACAGATGGATGGGTAGGCTTGGCAGGCCTCCACTGAGACGCAGGCGGTGCTTGATGTGGAAAGGAGAACATCCTCCAACCCAATCAGAGAGCTGGCAGTTCAATTACAAAGAAATAAAGGGACATTCATCATTCAATTAGGCACCTGTCAACCCTCACAAAGGAGAAAACTTCTAACCTGGTACTCCTGGGAGAAGATGCTCAGCAGAGTGGCCTGCGATTGACTGGAACAAATAAAAGAAGGACAAAGTTAATTACTGGAGTGCACGGCAAAGAAACAAAAGAGAAAGGAGCTTCAAAGGTAGGCCTGCTGCCCTGTAATCTAACAGAACATGAAAACAAGTGTGGAAAAGTTGTTCCAGATGAACACCTCAAACAAAGGCTTCCTGCTGCTAGGTCAAGGAGAGAGAAAAGGGAAAGGGAAAGATATGAATGGTCTCAAAGCAAGTATCGTATTATTTGGATTTTTTTAAACTTTGGAATGATTGTAAATCATATCTGTAGTATACAATGGTGTTAAAAGGGACCACAAGAAAACAAGACTTATTTCCATAAACAAATGACACAGTCCAATCCTATAAAAGTAGAGAGAACATGTAGCTCATTCATTGACAACATTCTGAAATTTATTTTGTTAGCAGATAGGTTATCTTTTCCACAGCTTCCCTAGATTCAGGGGTAAAACCTTTAGTCTTTATTAGAAGTAGCAAAGAGAAGACTGGAGTTTTCCCACTGATTCTAGTGTGCTTCGAAAATAGAAACTTTCACAGTAGGAAGCAAAGGTCCTTGGAAGTGCATCATTCCCAAAGACTGCTATAAGCCTTACTTTACTCATGTAAGATTCCATGCAGTGTCAACACTTGGCAATGAAGCTACCTGGGAAGCATTCTTCCCCAGTGGGGATTTTCCTCTTGCAATTGTTAACATTTAGAAATGGAATGAAATTTTTCTTTCTACAAAAAGCAATCATACCCTACTCCTATTCTTTTTGATTGTCCTCAGTAGATATTACTAACTTTATATTACCTTGAAAAGGATTATTACTGATTTATTTTCCTATTAAATGCTAATTCAAGTGACTATACTTTAAATAATTTATCTCACAGTATGCCAAAGCTCTGTGACTAATAAAAAATTTTCTATTCATGAATGAAATAGAATGAATGTGCCTCTTAGGCACATCAGAGGGAAACTGAATAGTGTGAAAAAAAAAATAGCACCATTCTTGTTTACTCACTGTCATCTTTTGGATGCCATCATAGATTTGACTTCTAACCCTCTCCATCCATACAAAAGTACATAGTTAGGTTTAAAAAGATAACATAAATGTTCACCAAGAAAAAACAACAAAAATCAAGTAACTACTTCACTAAGTGAAAAGTATGGAGAAATTAATGAAAACCTTTATAAATTCACTAGAATCTCACTTTTCCAATTTCCTTTTAAAATTGTAAAACACCTTTGAAAAAGCCAATTTTGACATGGAAAAGCTTCCTATTATGCCTGGCTTGTAGGAGCTTAACATGCCAATCACATACCCTGGTCAGTTTGCTGCTGAAACTTTTCTGACAAAAATTGCAAAATCAAGGCCAAATCTTTGTAAACTATTTGATACATTTAAATGTTAGACATTTATATGTAATAAATAGATCCCTCATCACTATATAGCAAAATAGATTTATGTTATTAACCATTTAATGGTTCACACAGAAGGTCAGTCTTTAGGTTTCAAAATATATGATGGAAATAATGTGTTTGGAATGAATAAACAGGAGGAAACTTAACTGTAAATAGTTTTAAAAAGTGTATTTGTAGGTACCCAGAATGGGAAGACTAAGGGACAACTGGAGAAATAAATTCAATAAAAAACCATTCAAAGTGAAAAGCTAGTCAGGAATTGAGAGTATTATATAAATTCAAGATGAGATAATGCCTTTGGCCAGAAAAATTTCTTTAAGCTGCTTAGAATTCAATTCAGTTAAATCCATGGACAGAGCCTATGGAGCAACACAGTTCCTCTGTGACCAACAGGACTTAGAAGATTCCAGCTTATACTGTGGAGTAAAAGCTAACTGGAACTAAAATCAGAAAACAACTTACTTAAAACAACAAAACATAGAACTGGGTCCAGTGCTAAGGAAGCTTCCTTATACCTATCTGTGCTGATCTTACCAAAGAGTAGTTCTGAACAAGTGCCACATCATAAAGAACAGAAAAGGAGTTTGGTGTGATGAACATATTGATTGCAGTGTGTATTGTACTCTCTCCCAGAGTGTCAATGCTAACAAGAAATACCACAGGAGGTGGGAGGGAAAGGGAGAGAGAAGGGAAAATGCATGGAAATGGAAGGAGACCCTCAGAGTTATACAAAAGTACATACAAGAGGAAGTGAGGGGAAGGGGAAAAATAATATAAGGGGGACAAACGAATGTCAGTAGAGGGAGCAGAGAGAGAAGAGGGGAGGGGAGGGGAGGGGAGGGGAGGGGAGGGGAGGGGGGATAGTAGAGGATAGGAAAGGCAGCAGAATACAACAGACACTAGTATGGCAATATGTAAATCAATGGATGTGTAACTGATGTGATTCTGCAATCTGTATATGGGGTAAAAATGGGAGCTCATAACCCACTTGAATCAAATTGTGAAATATGATATATCAAGAACTATGTAATGTTTTGAACAGCCAACAATAAAAAATTAAAAAAAAAAAAAAAAGAAAAGAAATACCACAGGGAAGGACTGGGCAGGTGTGGAGGGGAACAGAGTCATATGATATAAAATTTACAACCCTCTATGCTTCTGTCCTAAATTTTAAAGAAGGGGAAACGAAGGGAGAGAACTAGAGTAAAACAACAATTACACAGCTAGATCAGTGGCAGAGCTGGGAATCAAAACCAGATTCTATTCCAGACCCAAATTCTTAATTCCCATGGCAATCTGCCTTCCCAAGAGATCCCAGAAATCAGTTCTGTATATCATCAATGCTAACACCACTACTTAAATATTTATGTTACATTGTACTCCAAACAACAGTGAAAAATGGGGCAGGTTGCTTTTAGGATAGAAAATTGAAGCCACAGGAGGTCAACTGTTTTGACCAAATTCCATGGCTCTAGACAATATTCTCTTTAAAAATCAAATTTCCGTTTTCCTTTAATTAACTAAATAAAAAATTAATCTTTTTTGTGCTGAGAGATAAAGGAACTAATTAGAGATCATCATGCTAAGTGAAGTAAGTCTAACTCAAAAGGTTCAGGATTGTAATTTTCTCTTATAAGCAGAAGCTAAAGAGGAAAAAGGAAAACAAAGATGGGGCTAGATCTCCTAAAAACCAAATGGAGATCAGTAGAGGAAAGGGACCAAGAGGTGGGAGGTGGGGAGGGAGTAGGGAAATGCTGTGGAGTTTTACTGGCCAAATTATACTGTTATATCATGTGCATGTATAAATATGTAACAACAATCCCATCAATATGCACAACTATAATGCACTAATAAAAAATATGGGGAAAAAAGATAAAAGAATATTGACTGCTGGAAATAGTTTAAAAGAGTGTTGGGTAATTTCTATCATTCTTCCTGCAGCTAAGGCATTTTTAAGGCATATTTTAACTATTAAAGTCTTGTTCTCTGTGTATGTGTCTTTGACTCAAATGCTACTTACTGTATATAGAGCAGTATTAAATCCTTAGGTAAACAGAGCAAGTCTAAATAACCCAATCTTTCATATAGAAGACAATTTCCTCTATAAGTTTAATTTTTATAAAACAACATTTAATGAAGGGATTTTTAGTTACAAAATAGAACAAATTTCATGTGAAATCTTGATGTCTACAGTCAGTATTCGTTCTGTTCTATAACCTTTGTTTTTTTCTCTTTGCTAGATGATTTTGAATTTGTGTGTATGTGTGTGCATTGATACACACACATTAAAAACTGTGAGTGGTTTAAACGTATCTTTTTCTGTAACATGCCTTTATCTCATGCTAACACTTATCTGTGCCAATAAATATTCCTCTTTTTAAATTATTTTTATTGTGAATAAAACATATATTCCCCCTCTCCCCCACCAAGAAAAACCACACGTGGAACAAATATGTAGCGCAACAAATTAATATTTAAAAAAGAGAAACATGCAACCATTTAAATAAACAAACAACCCTGCCAACACCCCCCAAAACACCCTTGCAATTACCACCTCTTTCCTCTTACAAATGAACTGATTCTTCTGATCTTTCCTTGCTTCTCTTTATAGTTTTACCACTCAAATATGTATCCCTAGGTAATGCAGGTTAGTTTTGCCTGCTGACAGACTTTACATGAAGTTCGTGAGACAGTATGTACTCTTTCACATCCAGCCTCTTTCATTCAGTATATCTCCGAGAATCATCCATGCTAACATAAAAACATGGTCGACTCATTAACATTGCTATGTAGTACCTTCTACTGCATGTACAACACTGCTGCTGTGATCTCACTCTTGTGTGAGTCTCTTGGTGCACATCTGCACAAATTTCTACTGAATATAAACACAGAGTAGAATCCAGGGTCGTCTGACATGCAAATCTCCAACTTTAATAGATACTGTTGAACAATCTTTCCAGTGGTTATAGCAATATTAAACTCCCACTAATGGAATAGGAAAGTTTCTATTGCTACACATTTCTCATCCCACTCCCTTCCAGTTCATAGTTTGCATTTTCCTTTTCTTTGTGGTGCCTTTTGAAGAGTCAAAGTTTTTAATTTTGATGAAGTCTAACATTATTTTTAGTATTTTCTATGTCTCATGTAAAAAAATTTTGGCCTACTCACACTCCAGATATTTTCATTTAGAAGATTAATAGTGTTGGATTTTACATTTAATTCTTTGATCTATCTGGAATTAATTTTGTGTTGAGATATGTTAGTTTCTTTTTATTTTTTTCATGCAAACACACAATTGACTACACAATTTGCTTCTGAGTAAACCAAATTACTGACAGTATATTTGAGGACTTTCTAATTTGTTCCACCCATTTCTGTGTTTATCTTTTCATGGATACTCAACTGTTTTGATTACTGCAACAAAACCATGTACATTTAATGTAAGTACTGCTATATCCACGTTTAACTCTACCTACTATATATAACTGTTCTCTACTTTCTCATATTCTTTTCAATCGATTTAATACTTATTCACTAACTTTCCTCATGCAAATTAGAGGCTATGCAGCCTTTTACTATTCTTTTA